CAAGGGGCGGGTCGCCGGAGGTGGAGACGCGCCCGGCACCGCACGCCTGCTCACAGGCACGCTGGCCTCCTCGCGCACGGTGCTCACACACACACACTCACGTATGCACAGATGCACACACGCAACGCACACAGGCTCAGACCCACATATTCACACAGACACAACGCACCCACTGACGTGCGTAAAAATGCTCACACACAAATGCACATAAATACGACGTGCACGTTTAATACACACAAAAAATGTGCTTAAGCATATACACATGCACACACTCTCAGATACATTTGCATATTTTCACACAGCACACGCACGTGCAAACAAGACTACACACAAGTCCACAGGCATAGTACATGCTTATATGAACGCAGATATGCATTCTCATAGAGACAAGTATATCCCAGGGCCCACTCCTCCCCACAGAAATACAAACTCGCGTGCAAATACTTACACCGGCAACTACGCACATGCACACACTGAGAGCTCACTCAAACACGTATTCACTCACACAGCCTACACATTCGCTCAGACTCATGCACATGCAACATATATTCATACATGCATGTTCACTCATACACCCATTCACACACAGGCCAAGAGAGATCTATATACAAGCACACACATATTTTTACACATTCACAGTCCTGCAGAGACTCCCAGAGGCAAACGCCATTACACACAGGTGAACTCATGTACACACATTCACATACTAATACACAAATGTGTTCACTCAAAATTACATATAAATATACCCTTATACTCAAGCACCCACACACATATACACAGATACAGAGTAACACAAGTCCACACACACTGACGTGCGTAAAAATGCTCACACACAAATGCACATAAATACGTGCACGTTTAATACACACAAAAAATGTGCTTAAGCATATACACATGCACACACTCTCAGATACATTTGCATATTTTCACACAGCACACGCACGTGCAAACAAGACTACACACAAGTCCACAGGCATAGTACATGCTTATATGAACGCAGATATGCATTCTCATAGAGACAAGTATATCCCAGGGCCCACTCCTCCCCACAGAAATACAAACTCGCGTGCAAATACTTACACCGGCAACTACGCACATGCACACACTGAGAGCTCACTCAAACACGTATTCACTCACACAGCCTACACATTCGCTCAGACTCATGCACATGCAACATATATTCATACATGCATGTTCACTCATACACCCATTCACACACAGGCCAAGAGAGATCTATATACAAGCACACACATATTTTTACACATTCACAGTCCTGCAGAGACTCCCAGAGGCAAACGCCATTACACACAGGTGAACTCATGTACACACATTCACATACTAATACACAAATGTGTTCACTCAAAATTACATATAAATATACCCTTATACTCAAGCACCCACACACATATACACAGATACAGAGTAACACAAGTCCACACACTTTCACAAACCCACTCACACATACACCACATCCATACAAGTATGTTCCATGGCTGAAAGTTGGAGTCGCAGGGTGAATTTGCATAACCCGTAACACTGGCTTCTCCACGCACTCCAGCACCGTGGTATTTAAAACACGTTGGTGCAGGTTAGTGAGAGCGGCGCAAGAGTTCCCGGAAAGGCATCCGATGTCCGCAGTTCCTTCTGGGGGACAGACATTTCACAGGATTAAGATGAAGGAAACTAAATTTCAAGTAGTGAGTTTTCAACCAGGAAAAAAAAAAAAAAAACACCTAAATAAGGGAGACTTTGCTACCCAGGACAGAATCTGTCCCCAAAGGCCACACTGCCATCAGAGCTCACCAGATGTCTTGCTAGGGCTTGAATTCATTTGCTTAACAAATCGCACAGATACAAGCAGAAAACCAAGATCCTCCTCTCTGAAGTGGAAAAGAGATGAGCTTGGAGAGAAAGCTAGCGAGACCTCCAGGGGTGCAGTATTTGGTTCTCCTCTACACGTTGTATTCCCCTTAGACACTGAGCATTAACATGCTTTGCCATAAAGTGTTTACTGTTGAAAGTAAAAAAATAATGAAATGCTTTTCTGGGCAGTGCATCTACAACAATACACCTGTCTTGTACCGCCAGTTGCGTGTTCATAAATTGGTAGCCCTGGGGTTCTCCCTGTTCTGTAAGTGCTGTTTTTGCAGAATATTTTAACTCTGCCTCACTGAGCAACTGAGCGGTGGTGGTAGTGGTTTCTCATTTTACCTTTAAAAGAAAACTTTCACTATTAAAAGCCTTCACTATCAAAAACCATAATAGGAGAATGGCCATTGAAAAAGAACAGTGTAAGAACAGTGGTCCTCTCTCTTACATATTTTTTAATACCTGAAGATGATGTTGTGCTAAACTGGGCTTAACTGAGCTGGGAATGTTATTCTTCAATGATAAGCAGAGACAGCAAGTGAATGTGAACAATGCATTTGATGCAGAGGTGCTGATTGCCTCAAAGGGCCCTTTATTTCCTTCTCTCTCTGACAACTGTAAGCCAGCAGACACCGGCACACTTTATAAGCTCCATTTTTGAGCATTAAGGGTGTGAAGTCAGTACAAAAACAATTTTGCGATGAATGTTTGAACCTTCTAAGATATTTGAGTATTTTTCAGCTGGGAAAGATTTCTTTTCCCTAATAAGCAATGCCTCTGATGTTAAGGTTCGCTTCACTTATCTGTCTACTTACACGTCTTTTTTCCCTTGAACCCCAGGACGTTTTCTTCTCAAACCGCTTGTCTGACACTACTTCCGATTATATAAGGTGCAGTGGACATCATATGGCCCCCAGTGGTGAGAGAAAGTGATATAGCAGATAGGCTTGGGACTTATATACTGATAGTTAGGTAATGAGGCCCAAAATAGAGACACAGTAAGCTTTACCCAAGAGGGAGTCACCCTGGCTAAGTTTTACAAAGAGCTGGCTGCCTTGGGACTTAAAACTTAACTACAGTTAAGGGCAACAGTTTCTATTTGCTAATTACATTTTAACAAGTACAAATCGCTGTGGTCTGCTGGACCCACAAAGAATGGAAAAATAAATCACCCAGACTACCTTGTAACTATTTTCTAGAGGCTACTTCCTTAGTAGAGAGCCAGTCTATTGCTTCCTTATTAGAGAGCAATAAAATAAATAAAACCCCTTAGCCTGAGCTTCTCTTTAGGAACCCATTTGGGACCCCCTCCCTGCTTGAGAGCTTTTTCTTTCCTCTTTTTTTTTTTTTTTTTGAGAGATTTTTGCTATAGGGTGCAAGCACTCTATATAGCAAGTCAGAGAGACATGGAGACAGAAAGTGAAAAATCACCCCCCAGGGGGGATGGTTACGCCGCAATCCCTTCTCCTCCATTCTCCTCTAGAGATTTTGGGCATGCACACACATGTGCTCAGTGAGAGATTCAAGCTGCCAGGTCTGGGACTCAAACCAAGGTTGATCATGTGGGCGTCCTCTTAATAAACTCCACTTTGCTATCCCCTCTCTGTGACTGCATCTCTAATTCTTCATGAGTATGGTGCGAGAACCTGGACATCTCGCAGTCCTGAGTCAAGCACTGGTGTTGAGCCTGATCAGCCCAATATCCCACATCGAAAGGAGTTCTGGTTTCCTCTGAAACTTCATTGGTGACTAATGTGGGGTTTAACTGTGGAAATTCACTGCAAGAACCATTCATTCATGAGTATATGTCTTAAACACTATATTTAAGTGATGCAGAGGACAGAGAGAAAGATATTGCCTATGCTTCTGATGTAGTCAGAGTCTTTTAGGACTAGGATTTAATATGTAGACACTTCTTTTCACCTGCCTGCTTCTTGAATGCAGGGCTATCTCCTTATTCCCTGAAGATCCCAGTAGGAGACACACAAGCAATTCATAAGTATCTACTAAATTGATTTAATATTTGGTCATTGATTGCTACAGAAGGCATGATCATTTGCAAATATCAGGTCATTCTGCAAGTTCTTAAGAGAGAAATGCAAGCAGAAATTCCTGGGCAATCTAGAGAAACTATCCAATGAGAGCCGATGGGCAACTGTGGGCCTTTAAGCCTCTGCATTCACATGCAAACTCCATCCTTGGCATGGTGCCATCTTTAAACACAAAGGCCAGGAGGCTATGGAAACGATGATGCTTTTCCCCCAGCTGATCAAACAGGTTGCCAAAAGGTTCCCATCAGGTGGGAACAAGCTCTTCTGTGTATCTATTATTTTTCCCTGTTGTATTTCACAGATACATTCCTAAGAGAGGACCAGTTTAAATTGATTTTTTAAGGCAACAAAGCATTTCTTAACAGTGTGTCCTCTTTGCTCTTTCCTGGGCAAGTTAACATCAAAAAAAAAAAAATAGCAATGAGCTGCCATTATCAGGAAACAATACTACTTGGCAGGGGATATTATTCAGATAAATTGACAAAAAAGAAAAGAAAAAAAGAGGGAGGGAAGGAGAGAGAGGAGAGAAGAGAAAGAGGGACAGAGGTTAAAAGGAAGGAGAACATTTATCTGGGTTGTTCAAAGCTTTTAAGATGGAAGGGATGGAGGTACACACAACCTAATCCACAGCTTTTCAAAATCCCTAATTCAAACCTTAGCTTTCAGACACAGAAATTAGGTTTTGATTTTTTTTTTCCCTTTCCCTAAATTCTGTTTTACTAGCAGAATTTGAATGGGCTGCATGGATTTCTG